TCGACTCGCTTCAGAGAAACGACACGTGGGAAATCGTGCCTCTTCCGAAGGTCGCAAGGCCATCGGGTGCCGATGGGTTTTCGTGTAAAGAATCAAGATGGCGAAGTTGAACGTTCTCCCAAGGCAAGACTTGTGGCCAAAGGATTCTCACAGAAATTCGGAGTTGACTATGAGAGAAACTTTCGCACCGGTGGCCAAGTTCACATCGATTCGTGTGGTGCTCAGTATGGCGGCTAAGTACGGCCTAATGCTACATCAGATGGACGTCAAGACAGCGTTTCTTAACGGCTCCCTCAACGAAGACATCTACATGGACCAGCCGGACGGATACCTGGATGCAACACAGCCCGGACTATGTGTGCAAGCTAAAGAGATCACTCTACGGCTTGAAGCAATCGCCTCGCATGTGGAACCAAACAATCGATGGGTTCATGATCAAGATGGGATTCAAGAAGTGCGAATCGGACCACTGCATCTACATCAAGCGAGACGACCAAGACATGATTCTCGTGGTACTCTACGTCGATGATCTCATCCTGGCCAGCAGCAACAACGAACTCCTCAAGTCAACCAAGATGGCGCTGAGCAAACGCTTCGAAATGACGGATCTCGGTGAGCTCGATTACTTTCTCGGCATGGAGATCAAGAACGACCGTAAGACGGGAATGGTGACTGTACAACAAACCAAGTTCCTCAAGTCCGTGTTAACCAAGTTCGGAATGGATAACAGCAAGCCAGTGAAGACGCCTCAAGATCCCGGCCTGAAGCTAACCAAGAACATGTGTGAACAAGAATGCAAGCACGAAGACACCATGTGCAACGTGCCATATCGAAGTGCTGTCGGAGGCATCATGTATCTCATGGTCGCCACACGTCCGGATCTAGCTGCTGCAGTGGGATCATTATCCCAGTTCTCGTCCGACCCATGCCCGACTCACTGGCAAGCTTTGAAGCGTGTGCTGAGATACCTGCAAGCAACGCCCAATCATGGTCTTGAGTTTACACGTGAAGAAGGAAGCCGTATCTGCGGGTACACCGACGCAGACTGGGCCGGCGACATTGAGTCAAGACGAAGTACAAGCGGCTATGTGTTCATGATGAGCGGAGGATGCATCAGCTGGAAAAGCCAGAAACAACGGACGGTCGCGCTATCTTCAACAGAAGCAGAATACATGGCGCTTTCCGAAGCAACCAAAGAAGCAGTATGGCTCAAAGTGCTTTTGGGGGAACTTGGTGAGATGACAAGCGACGAAGCGATCAAGATGTATGAAGACAACCAAGGATCAATCGCTCTCGCCAAGAACCCGGAGTTCCATAAGAGAACAAAACACATCGACATACGCTACCATTTTGTGCGTGAGAAGGTGGAATCAGGTGAAGTCGTTTTGGAGTATTGCCCGACTCAAGATATGCTGGCAGACATGATGACCAAGCCGATCGCCGCTGTACAATTTGAAAACATTCGCGATCGACTTGGGATCCAAGGTGCCGCAGCTAACGAGTCGAGAGGGAGTGTTGAAAAGACAGCGGCTGTGAAGAAGACACCTCGTCAAGCTGCGTCAAGTGTTGAAGCAAGTGGAAGACCAAGCTTCGCTATACCGGTGGGTACCGGTATGTACCAGTAAGGGCGAAGTCTGGAAATGACGTCACTGGATGACGTCATTGCATGACGTCAGTGGGTGACGTCAGTGGGTGACGTCACTGGATGACGTCACTGCGAATAATAGGCTTAGAGGTAGTATTCAAAGTTGCGAACTAAGTACCTATTATAAATATATATTCACTTTGCGTTTTGCACTCGGACCAAGAAGTCTAAAGTTCATCAGGTAGCTTTCTCAAGTGATTGAGTGCGCGTGTGTCTCTTGATGTTGCTCTTCGAAGACCTGGTGTCTTCGTTGTCATCGTCGCTCGAGTCCATGTCGTCGTCAGTTTTACCTTCTTCTTTTTCTTCGTCCTCATCATGATCATCAAACTCAACGACACTTGACTCATCGTTGTAGTTGCGCGGACCTTCATCAAACTTGTCTTCCATGAATGTGGCATCGCGACTGATCTTGATCGCTCCTGTTGACACTTCCTCAAATCGATATGACTTCTGGTGTTCGACGTATCCCAGGAAACGACAGAGTGATGACTTGGAGTCGAACTTCGCGCGTTTGTCTTGAGGCACTTGAACATACGCGTGGCATCCAAACACTTTAAGGTTGGCCAGAATCGGTTTCTTCATCGTCCACACTTGATATGGAGACTTGTCTTGGTGAATGGCACGTGTTGGACAGCGGTTTCGAAGAAACATCGCCGTCATCACTGCTTCACCCCAGTAGCTCTTTCCCAGTCCAGCGTGTTCCATCATGCAACGCGCACACTCGACCAGCGTGCGATTCATTCTCTCAGCTACTCCGTTTAGCTGAGGAGTATATGGGGGTGTGAACCTTTGTTGTATTCCCCGTTCCGCGCAGAATCGTGCCAGCTTGTCGGACTTGTATTCACCCCCATTGTCGCTTTGAAGGTACTTCACGCGCTTTCCGGTTTGCGTTTCGGCCATCGCAGCGTATTCCATGAACTTCGCCGCAACTTCAGATTTGCTCTTGAGCAGATAGACGACACAGTATCTTGACTTGTCATCAATGAATGTCACGAAGTACCGTTTTCCACTGAAAGTTGCCATCGACATCGGTCCGCATACGTCGCTGTGAATCACTTCGAGGAGTTTGGAGGTGCGAGCTGTAGTGTTTGATTGGAAGCGCACTCGAGTCTGTTTTCCCAGAGCACAACCTTCACACACGTCCCACTTCTTCACCGAAGATATGTCGATGCCAATTCCAATGTTCTTCGTCATGATGCAATTGAGTCCATCGTGACCTATGTGGCCAAGCCGAAGGTGCCAGAGGTACGACTTGGTGCCCCCTTGACATCCCGACGACTTGGCTGCATTTGCTTGTTCCGGCGCCACTGGAGTCATTTGCAGCTTGAACAGTCCTTTACCTTCACGGGCACCAATTTTCCACTTGGTCCCTTTCGCTTCTCCATAGCACCCATCCTTCGTGAACGTCACTGGGCCGACATCCTTGATGAAGCGGCCGACCGAGAACAGGTTTCTGGATAACTTTGGGATGTGCCACACGTTTGTGAGCACACCTTTCTTCATCCCTTGGGGGTGTCTTCATCGACATGACAATGTCCCCACTGCCGATTGCTTGGACGATTCCATCATCCGCGAGATGGACATCCACAGCGTCAAACCCCTTGTAGTTCCGCATGAACTTCTTGGAGCACGTCATGTGCTGCGTCGCCCCGGAGTCGACCAGCCAGATGTCGCTCGATTTTGCAGATGTCGTTTCACCGATCGAAAAGAGGTAGTCGCCCGAGTCTTCTTCTTGAGCGACGTTTGCACGTTGTGATCGATAGCGGTCGCCGCTGTCTTGAGCACGCTGTGGCCGGTGTCTCTCCGTGTTTTCTTGGATGCGCGAGGGGCACTCCGCCATCCAGTGACCAATCTTTCCGCAATTGTGGCACGGCCAGGACTTCTTCACTGGTCGCCCTTTGCGCTGATTGTCCCTTGTGATGAACGCTTGACCTTGCGAAGCTTCATCACCTTTACTTCCTTGCTCCTTCCGCTTCATTTCTTCATGAAGCAGTCGAGACGTCACGAGCTCCCAGCTAAGAGTGTCTGAGCGCGACTCCAAAGCTGTGATCAAGAATTGATACGAGTCACTCAGGCTGCCGAGAAGTGTGATCACCAGATCGTCCTCGCAGACTGGAGCCCCCACCGCTTCTAGCTGTTCCGCCAGCGTCTTGAGCTTGTTGATGTGTTCGAGCACATCGTCGCCTTCTTCCATCATTGTCGTGAAGAAGCGACGGCGCAAGAACAGCTTGTTGGCAAGACTCTTCTTCTCGAAGTGGTCTTCCAACCTTGACCATGCGTCGCATGCACCACTTGCCGACCGGACCAACGGTAGCTGGGAATCTTCCATGGCTAGACAGATCACTGCCATCGCCTTTCTTGACTTCCTCTTGTACGTCGCTTGGTCCAACTGAGTCTCGCACTGTTCCGCCTTGATCTCACCGCTGACGACCTCCCATAGGTCCCGTTCCTCCAGCACCATCTGCATCTTGAACTTCCAGGCGTGGAAGTTAGTTCCATCGAACTTGGAGATGCGGAGGGAGGAGGCGTCCATGGCAGCTAAGCTTGAATTGTTGGCGGTTTCAGAGTCTGACGAACTTGGGCTCATAACCTGATGAACTTTAGACTTCTTGGTCCGAGTGCAAAACGCAAAGTGAATATATATTTATAATAGGTACTTAGTTCGCAACTTTGAATACTACCTCTAAGCCTATTATTCGCAGTGACGTCATCCAGTGACGTCACCCACTGACGTCACCCACTGACGTCATGCAATGACGTCATCCAGTGACGTCATTTCCTGACTTCGCCCTTACTGGTACATACCGGTACCCACCGGTATAGCGAAGCTTGGTCTTCCACTTGCTTCAACACTTGACGCAGCTTGACGAGGTGTCTTCTTCACAGCCGCTGTCTTTTCAACACTTTAGACTTCTTGGTCCGAGTGCAAAACGCAAAGTAAATATATATTTATAATAGGTACTTAGTTCGCAACTTTGAATACTACCTCTAAGCCTATTATTCGCAGTGACGTCATCCAGTGACGTCACCCACTGACGTCACCCACTGACGTCATGCAATGACGTCATCCAGTGACGTCATGCAATGACGTCATCCAGTGACGTCATTTCCTGACTTCGCCCTTACTGGTACATACCGGTACCCACTGGTATAGCGAAGCTTGGTCTTCCACTTGCTTCAACACTTGACGCAGCTTGACGAGGTGTCTTCTTCACAGCTGCTGTCTTTTCAACACAGCCTCCCCAAGAGCTACGAGAACGTCGTGCTGAACTTGGAGATGAGCAGCGCGGAACTGCGGACGCAAGACGTCGTGAAAGTGCTGACGAATGAGCACATCAAGAGACAAGGGCAAAAGACGACATCGGTGAAAACTGAAGAAGCGACCAAGGCCTTCAATACCGAGCGTGAGGTTCGTCAGTGTACGTTCTGCGGAAAATTGGGGCACACGGTGGAAAAGTGCTGAACCAAGCAGAAGGACGAAAATCAAGGTGGAGCTCGACGCGGCGGCAACAATGCTCGTGGACGCGGAGCCAACAAAGTTCAGTGGCGAACCAACAACAACAACAACGACGACAACTACGATCGAGTTGCGTTCGCGGTTTCGCTGTAAACTGGACTTTCGACGGGCAAGAATATGCCAGGGATGTGGGCAGTCGACAGTGGTGCGACGCATCACATCTGCAACGACAAGGCCAAGTTTGCAAGCCTGAATGAGCGAGAGGAAGGTGAACTATCAGTGGCTGATGGCAGCAAGGCTGCGATCAAGGGTGTGGGAACCATCATGGAACGGGTGGTTCTGCCCAATGGTGACGAACGCGACATCGAGATCAAGGACGCGCTGTTCGTACCAAGCGTGAGCAAGAATCTGCTTTCGGTGCCACAGATCAACAAGGTTGGCAGGTTCCAAGTCGTGTTCGATGGATCCAAGATGCAAGTGAAGCGCAAGAATTCCACACAAGTCGTGGCAACAGCGGATCTCGTCGATGGACTTTACTGGCTGCGGACTCCTTAACGATCGGCAAATGCAGCAACACGCAATGGTACCATCGACTTGCATGCGCGCATGGGTCATGCACCCCTCGAAGTTCTGCGCAAGATGGTGGCCACTGGCATGATCAAGGACGCCAAGGCACCTCTCAACTCGACTGGTCCAAGTGTGTGTCGCGGTTGCCAGCAAGGAAAGATGGTCCAAAAACCATTCCCAACCAACCGTGACAAACGCCAATATGGTGTGTTCGAGTTGCTGCACTTCGACATCTACGGGCCAATGGAACAAGTCTCGATCGGCGGCAGCAGATACTTACTGCTTGTGGTTGACGAAGCTAGCGGTTGCATGAAGGGCTTCTGTCTGCGGTCCAAGTCTGAGAGTGAAGACTGTATCAAGAACCACATCATCAAGATTCAGACTCAGTTCGGCACGAAGATCAAGTTTGTTCGGCACGATGGAGCGCATGAGTTTGCGACCAACTCCATCAAGACCTTCTACGAAGATCATGGTATTGAACAACAGATCACGGTGCCGTATGCACACCAGACCAACGGCACCGCAGAACGCGCGATAAGGACCATCGTCACGATCGGACGCAGCTTGTTGCATCATGCAAAGCTGGAGAAGTGTTTCTGGGCTGAAGCGGCAATGACGGCGATCTACATCAAGAACCGCCTGCCTTCACCCAAGATCGACCACAAGACTCCGTTCGAGATCGTGTACAAGTCGAAACCAAGTGTCAAGCACATGCGCGTGTTTGGATGTCGGGCGTTTATCCTGACACCAAGGGAGAAGCGATTGAAGTGGGACCCGAAGGCTTGTGAAGGGATGTTCATGGGCTACGAAGAAGCGTCAAAAGCTTATCGAGTGTACGACATTAAGGCGGGCCAAGTGGTGATCAGTCGTGACATCACCTTCGACGAATCGACTTTTGACTTTTCGATGGACCGACCAAGTGACGATGATGAAGATGCGGAGTTGGACCTCGACCTCCTGGCGATCAACGAGGACGACGTGCGTCAAACCGTCTACAAGCAGACTGGCAAGCGTAAGAGTGAAGCAAGACCCGGCATGTCACGGTCAGCTCGCCCTCGAACTGGGTTGGAACAAGCAAGTGCGCCGGAACACGTCTCCAACCGTCACCAGAAACGACGATCAAGTGCTCCAGAAACGATGTCTGATGACGAAGAAGATGCAAGCGTGTACGATCAAGATGACGACTCGACGCCTCCAACATTTTGGCGTGCAAGTGCAAACGCAGTGGAAGCAACGGACCTAGCAGAACCTGTGACTTTTCAAGACGCGATCAATGGTCCTGATCAAGCTCACTGGCGAAATGCTGTGAAGGCGGAACTCAAGTCGATGCATCTTCGTGGAGTTTTCCGTGCGGCAAAACTACCAAGAGGCCAAGGCGCGATCGGCACCAAGTGGGTGTTCAAGATCAAGCGCAAAGCGGATGGATCGGTCGAGAAATACAAGGCGCGTCTCGTTGCCAAGGGCTTCAAGCAGAAGTACGGCATCGACTACACAGAGACGTTCTTGCCCGTGGTCAAGTACGTGACACTGCGTATGGTGATCGCGATCACCAAGTATTTCGACTGGCCACTGGACCAACTCGATGTGGTGACAGCCTTTCTCTACGGAGTGATGAAGGAGAAGGTGTACTGCGTGATACCAGAAGGCGTCGAGATGGATGGCGACTTCGACTGTCTCGAGTTGGTGAAGGCGATCTACGGTCTCAAGCAAGCTTCACGTATGTGGAACGAGACTTTCGACGAGTTCGTATGCTCTATCGGTTTCGAAGCGTCGGCGTTCGACCCATGTCTCTACATCAAGGTTGTCGACGGTCACTGTGTGCTCGTGCTGGTCTACGTGGATGACGTGTTGGTCACCGGCAGCTCGCTCGAGTTGATTGCGCAGACGAAGGCCGACCTCAAGACGCGTTTCGAGATGACCGACAGTGGCAAGTGTACTTTTGTACTGGGCATCGAACTGGTGGACGAATCGGATGGCAGCGTGACGATGTGCCAGCGACGGTATGTCAACGACATCCTCAAGCGCTTCGGCATGGATGAGTGCAAGGCCACAGCAAGTCCGGTCGACTTGAGCACTCGGCTTGTCGCAAGCACCGAAGCGGCCAAGATCAACGTTCCGTTTCGTAAAGCTGTGGGAGCTTTGATGCACTTGACGACTGCGACGCGCCCGGACATTGCGTATGCTGTGGGGTACGTCTCGCGCTTCATGGAGAATCCGCAGCAAGAACATTGGACGGCGGTGAAGCGCATCTTTCGTTACTTGCAAGGGACCAAGTCACACGGACTCCGCTTCCAGCCAAGCGACAAGATCGACTTTCGTGGCTACTCGGACGCGGACTGGGCCGGCGACCACGCTGATCGCAAGTCGACTTCGGGTTACACTTTCATGCTGATGGGTGCTCCTGTGAGTTGGGGAAGCAAGAAGCAGTCAGGTGTGTCGCTGTCGACGAGTGAAGCGGAATAAATCGCACTGAGTCTGGCCATCCAGGAAGGCAAGTGGGTGCATCGCCTGCTATGCGAGATTTTGGCGGCCGCAAACGAACCAGGACCGGACCTCGTCATCCGTGAAGACAACCAGTCGTGCATCAAGATGACGAAGAATCCGGTGAATCATGGCCGCGCCTGTTGAAAAGACAGCGGCTGTGAAGAAGACACCTCGTCAAGCTGCGTCAAGTGTTGAAGCAAGTGGAAGACCAAGCTTCGCTATACCGGTGGGTACCGGTATGTACCAGTAAGGGCGAAGTCAGGAAATGACGTCACTGGATGACGTCACTGCGAATAATAGGCTTAGAGGTAGTATTCAAAGTTGCGAACTAAGTACCTATTATAAATATATATTCACTTTGCGTTTTGCACTCGGACCAAGAAGTCTAAAGTTCATCAGGTTATGAGCCCAAGTTCGTCAGACTCTGAAACCGCCAACAATTCAAGCTTAGCTGCCATGGACGCCTCCTCCCTCCGCATCTCCAAGTTCGATGGAACTAACTTCCACGCCTGGAAGTTCAAGATGCAGATGGTGCTGGAGGAACGGGACCTATGGGAGGTCGTCAGCGGTGAGATCAAGGCGGAACAGTGCGAGACTCAGTTGGACCAAGCGACGTACAAGAGGAAGTCAAGAAAGGCGATGGCAGTGATCTGTCTAGCCATGGAAGATTCCCAGCTACCGTTGGTCCGGTCGGCAAGTGGTGCATGCGACGCATGGTCAAGGTTGGAAGACCACTTCGAGAAGAAGAGTCTTGCCAACAAGCTGTTCTTGCGCCGTCGCTTCTTCACGACAATGATGGAAGAAGGCGACGATGTGCTCGAACACATCAACAAGCTCAAGACGCTGGCGGAACAGCTAGAAGCGGTGGGGGCTCCAGTCTGCGAGGACGATCTGGTGATCACACTCCTCGGCAGCCTGAGTGACTCGTATCAATTCTTGATCACAGCTTTGGAGTCGCGCTCAGACACTCTTAGCTGGGAGCTCGTGACGTCTCGACTGCTTCATGAAGAAATGAAGCGGAAGGAGCAAGGAAGTAAAGGTGATGAAGCTTCGCAAGGTCAAGCGTTCATCACAAGGGACAATCAGCGCAAAGGGCGACCAGTGAAGAAGTCCTGGCCGTGCCACAATTGCGGAAAGATTGGTCACTGGATGGCGGAGTGCCCCTCGCGCATCCAAGAAAACACGGAGAGACACCGGCCACAGCGTGCTCAAGACAGCGGCGACCGCTATCGATCACAACGTGCAAACGTCGCTCAAGAAGAATACTCGGGCGACTACCTCTTTTCGATCGGTGAAACGACATCTGCGAAATCGAGCGACATCTGGCTGGTCGACTCCGGGGCGACGCAGCACATGACGTGCTCCAAGAAGTTCATGCGGAACTACAAGGGGTTTGACGCTGTGGATGTCCATCTCGCGGATGACGGAATCGTCCAAGCAATCGGCAGTGGGGACATTGTCATGTCGATGAAGACACCCCAAGGGATGAAGAAAGGTGTGCTCACAAACGTGTGGCACATCCCAAAGTTATCCAGAAACCTGTTCTCGGTCGGCCGCTTCACCAAGGATGTCGGCCCAGTGACGTTCACGAAGGATGGGTGCTATGGAGAAGCGAAAGGGACCAAGTGGAAAATTGGTGCCCGTGAAGGTAAAGGACTGTTCAAGCTGCAAATGACTCCAGTGGCGCCGGAACAAGCAAATGCAGCCAAGTCGTCGGGATGTCAAGGGGGCACCAAGTCGTACCTCTGGCACCTTCGGCTTGGCCACATAGGTCACGATGGACTCAATTGCATCGTGACGAAGAACATTGGAATTGGCATCGACATATCTTCGGTGAAGAAGTGGGACGTGTGTGAAGGTTGTGCTCTGGGAAAACAGACTCGAGTGCGCTTCCAATCAAACACTACAGCTCGCACCTCCAAACTCCTCGAAGTGATTCACAGCGACGTATGCGGACCGATGTCGATGGCAACTTTCAGTGGAAAACGGTACTTCGTGACATTCATTGATGACAAGTCAAGATACTGTGTCGTCTATCTGCTCAAGAGCAAATCTGAAGTTGCGGCGAAGTTCATGGAATACGCTGCGATGGCCGAAACGCAAACCGGAAAGCGCGTGAAGTACCTTCAAAGCGACAATGGGGGTGAATACAAGTCCGACAAGCTGGCACGATTCTGCGCGGAACGGGGAATACAACAAAGGTTCACACCCCCATATACTCCTCAGCTAAACGGAGTAGCTGAGAGAATGAATCGCACGCTGGTCGAGTGTGCGCGTTGCATGATGGAACACGCTGGACTGGGAAAGAGCTACTGGGGTGAAGCAGTGATGACGGCGATGTTTCTTCGAAACCGCTGTCCAACACGTGCCATTCACCAAGACAAGTCTCCATATCAAGTGTGGACGATGAAGAAACCGATTCTGGCCAACCTTAAAGTGTTTGGATGCCACGCGTATGTTCAAGTGCCTCAAGACAAACGCGCGAAGTTCGACTCCAAGTCATCACTCTGTCGTTTCCTGGGATACGCCGAACACCAGAAGTCATATCGATTTGAGGAAGTGTCAACAGGAGCGATCAAGATCAGTCGCGATGCCACATTCATGGAAGACAAGTTTGATGAAGGTCCGCGCAACTACAACGATGAGTCAAGTGTCGTTGAGTTTGATGATCATGATGAGGACGAAGAAAAAGAAGAAGGTAAAACTGACGACGACATGGACTCGAGCGACGATGACAACGAAGACACCAGGTCTTCGAAGAGCAACATCAAGAGACACACGCGCACTCAATCACTTGAGAAAGCTACCGTCATTCCAAGTCCCAAGCGAAGAACATACAGAGGTCCGTCGCTTGAGCATGTGTCAGCGGCTGCAATGGATTTTGAAGCAGCCTACATCGTTGATTCAGTGGGGGAAACGCCGACTACATTCAAGTCGGCGATGGAATCAAGCGACTCCGGCAAGTGGAAAGAAGCGTGTGACTCGGAGTTCGATTCGCTTCAGAGAAACGACACGTGGGAAATCGTGCCTCTTCCGAAAGGTCGCAAGGCCATCGGGTGCAGATGGGTTTTTCGTGTAAAGGAGAATCAAGATGGCGAAGTTGAACGTTTCAAGGCAAGACTTGTGGCCAAAGGATTCTCACAGAAATTCGGAGTTGACTATGAAGAAACTTTCGCACCGGTGGCCAAGTTCACATCGATTCGTGTGGTGCTCAGTATGGCGGCTAAGTACGGCCCTAATGCTACATCAGATGGACGTCAAGACAGCGTTTCTTAACGGCTCCCTCAACGAAGACATCTACATGGACCAGCCGGACGGATACCTGGATGCAACACAGCCGGACTATGTGTGCAAGCTAAAGAGATCACTCTACGGCTTGAAGCAATCGCCTCGCATGTGGAACCAAACAATCGATGGGTTCATGATCAAGATGGGATTCAAGAAGTGCGAATCGGACCACTGCATCTACATCAAGCGAGACGACCAAGACATGATTCTCGTGGTGCTCTACGTCGATGATCTCATCCTGGCCAGCAGCAACAACGAACTCCTCAAGTCAACCAAGATGGCGCTGAGCAAACGCTTCGAAATGACGGATCTCGGTGAGCTCGATTACTTTCTCGGCATGGAGATCAAGAACGACCGTAAGACGGGAATGGTGACTGTACAACAAACCAAGTTCCTCAAGTCCGTGTTAACCAAGTTCGGAATGGATAACAGCAAGCCAGTGAAGACGCCTCAAGATCCCGGCCTGAAGCTAACCAAGAACATGTGTGAACAAGAATGCAAGCACGAAGACACCATGTGCAACGTGCCATATCGAAGTGCTGTCGGAGGCATCATGTATCTCATGGTCGCCACACGTCCGGATCTAGCTGCTGCAGTGGGATCATTATCCCAGTTCTCGTCCGACCCATGCCCGACTCACTGGCAAGCTTTGAAGCGTGTGCTGAGATACCTGCAAGCAACGCCCAATCATGGTCTTGAGTTTACACGTGAAGAAGGAAGCCGTATCTGCGGGTACACCGACGCAGACTGGGCCGGCGACATTGAGTCAAGACGAAGTACAAGCGGCTATGTGTTCATGATGAGCGGAGGATGCATCAGCTGGAAAAGCCAGAAACAACGGACGGTCGCGCTATCTTCAACAGAAGCAGAATACATGGCGCTTTCCGAAGCAACCAAAGAAGCAGTATGGCTCAAAGTGCTTTTGGGGGAACTTGGTGAGATGACAAGCGACGAAGCGATCAAGATGTATGAAGACAACCAAGGATCAATCGCTCTCGCCAAGAACCCGGAGTTCCATAAGAGAACAAAACACATCGACATACGCTACCATTTTGTGCGTGAGAAGGTGGAATCAGGTGAAGTCGTTTTGGAGTATTGCCCGACTCAAGATATGCTGGCAGACATGATGACCAAGCCGATCGCCGCTGTACAATTTGAAAACATTCGCGATCGACTTGGGATCCATGGTGCCGCAGCTAACGAGTCGAGAGGGAGTGTTGAAAAGACAGCGGCTGTGAAGAAGACACCTCGTCAAGCTGCGTCAAGTGTTGAAGCAAGTGGAAGACCAAGCTTCGCTATACCGGTGGGTACCGGTATGTACCAGTAAGGGCGAAGTCAGGAAATGACGTCACTGGATGACGTCATTGCATGACGTCAGTGGGTGACGTCAGTGGGTGACGTCACTGGATGACGTCACTGCGAATAATAGGCTTAGAGGTAGTATTCAAAGTTGCGAACTAAGTACCTATTATAAATATATATTCACTTTGCGTTTTGCACTCGGACCAAGAAGTCTAAAGTTCATCAGCGCCAAGCACATCGACATCAAGTACCATCACATCCGTGATGAGGTCAAGCGCGGTGAAGTGCAGCTCGAGTATTGCGAGACTTCCGTGATGATGGCGGACATCATGACCAAGGGACTTTCGGGACCTCGTCACAAGGACTTGACGACGGCTCTCGGCATTCGTGCGAGTTCGGATTGAGGGGGCGTGTTGACGGTCATCGGTTTCTACCAGTATTGGTAACCGTGACCGGTCCAATCCGAACCGCCTGTTCAGCTTGGTATTTACGACGTAGTTCTTACGGTAATTACCATAGTTGATTAGACGCGTAGGATGATGAGACGCTTCACATGATTTATATGTGCACCACATATAAATCATGTAGTAAGTAGTAAGCCCCGATAATCAATCACTTTCCAATCTTCCATCTACCCCAAGTGTATTCTCCGGTCTTCCGAGTGGACGCTCAGCATCCCTCCCAGTTTCGGTCGTCAAGCTCTTCACTGTTGAAAAGACAGCGGCTGTAAAGAAGACACCTCGTCAAGCTGCGTCAAGTGTTGAAGCAAGTGGAAGACCAAGCCTCGCTATACCGGTGGGTACCGGTATGTACCAGTAAGGGCGAAGTCAGGAAATGACGTCACTGGATGACGTCATTGCATGACGTCAGTGGGTGACGTCAGTGGGTGACGTCACTGGATGACGTCACTGCGAATAATAGGCTTAGAGGTAGTATTCAAAGTTGCGAACTAAGTACCTATTATAAATATATATTCACTTTGCGTTTTGCACTCGGACCAAGAAGTCTAAAGTTCATCAGGTTATGAGCCCAAGTTCGTCAGACTCTGAAACCGCCAACAATTCAAGCTTAGCTGCCATGGACGCCTCCTCCCTCCGCATCTCCAAGTTCGATGGAACTAACTTCCACGCCTGGAAGTTCAAGATGCAGATGGTGCTGGAGGAACGGGACCTATGGGAGGTCGTCAGCGGTGAGATCAAGGCGGAACAGTGCGAGACTCAGTTGGACCAAGCGACGTACAAGAGGAAGTCAAGAAAGGCGATGGCAGTGATCTTTCTAGCCATGGAAGATTCCCAGCTACCGTTGGTCCGGTCGGCAAGTGGTGCATGCGACGCATGGTCAAGGTTGGAAGACCACTTCGAGAAGAAGAGTCTTGCCAACAAGCTGTTCTTGCGCCGTCGCTTCTTCACGACAATGATGGAAGAAGGCGACGATGTGCTCGAACACATCAACAAGCTCAAGACGCTGGCGGAACAGCTAGAAGCGGTGGGGGGCTCCAGTCTGCGAGGACGATCTGGTGATCACACTCCTCGGCAGCCTGAGTGACTCGTATCAATTCTTGATCACAGCTTTGGAGTCGCGCTCAGACACTCTTAGCTGGGAGCTCGTGACGTCTCGACTGCTTCATGAAGAAATGAAGCGGAAGGAGCAAGGAAGTAAAGGTGATGAAGCTTCGCAAGGTCAAGCGTTCATCACAAGGGACAATCAGCGCAAAGGGCGACCAGTGAAGAAGTCCTGGCCGTGCCACAATTGCGGAAAGATTGGTCACTGGATGGCGGAGTGCCCCTCGCGCATCCAAGAAAACACGGAGAGACACCGGCCACAGCGTGCTCAAGACAGCGGCGACCGCTATCGATCACAACGTGCAAACGTCGCTCAAGAAGAAGACTCGGGCGACTACCTCTTTTCGATCGGTGAAACGACATCTGCGAAATCGAGCGACATCTGGCTGGTCGACTCCGGGGCGACGCAGCACATGACGTGCTCCAAGAAGTTTATGAAGAACTACAAAGGGGTTTGACGCTGTGGATGTCCATCTCGCGGATGATGGAATCGTCCAAGCAATCGGCAGTGGGGACATTGTCATGTCGATGAAGACACCCCAAGGGATGAAGAAAGGTGTGCTCACAAACGTGTGGCACATCCCAAAGTTATCCAGAAACCTGTTCTCGGTCGGCCGCTTCATCAAGGATGTCGGCCCAGTGACGTTCACGAAGGATGGGTGCTATGGAGAAGCGAAAGGGACCAAGTGGAAAATTGGTGCCCGTGAAGGTAAAGGACTGTTCAAGCTGCAAATGACTCCAGTGGCGCCGGAACAAGCAAATGCAGCCAAGTCGTCGGGATGTCAAGGGGGCACCAAGTCGTACCTCTGGCACCTTCGGCTTGGCCACATAGGTCACGATGGACTCAATTGCATCGTGACGAAGAACATTGGAATTGGCATCGACATATCTTCGGTGAAGAAGTGGGACGTGTGTGAAGGTTGTGCTCTGGGAAAACAGACTCGAGTGCGCTTCCAATCAAACACTACAGCTCGCACCTCCAAACTCCTCGAAGTGATTCACAGCGACGTATGCGGACCGATGTCGATGGCAACTCTCAGTGGAAAACGGTACTTCGTGACATTCATTGATGACAAGTCAAGATACTGTGTCGTCTATCTGCTCAAGAGCAAATCTGAAGTTGCGGCGAAGTTCATGGAATACGCTGCGATGGCCGAAACGCAAACCGGAAAGCGCGTGAAGTACCTTCAAAGCGACAATGGGGGTGAATACAAGTCCGACAAGCTGGCACGATTCTGCGCGGAACGGGGAATACAACAAAGGTTCACACCCCCCATATACTCCTCAGCTAAACGGAGTAGCTGAGAGAATGAATCGCACGCTGGTCGAGTGTGCGCGTTGCATGATGGAACACGCTGGACTGGGAAAGAGCTACTGGGGTGAAGCAGTGATGACGGCGATGTTTCTTCGAAACCGCTGTCCAACACGTGCCATTCACCAAGACAAGTCTCCATATCAAGTGTGGACGGTGAAGAAACCGATTCTGGCCAACCTTAAAGTGTTTGGATGCCACGCGTATGTTCAAGTGCCTCAAGACAAACGCGCGAAGTTCGACTCCAAGTCATCACTCTGTCGTTTCCTGGGATACGCCGAACACCAGAAGTCATATCGATTTGAGGAAGTGTCAACAGGAGCGATCAAGATCAGTCGCGATGCCACATTCATGGAAGACAAGTTTGATGAAGGTCCGCGCAACTACAACGATGAGTCAAGTGTCGTTGAGTTTGATGATCATGATGAGGACGAAGAAAAAGAAGAAGGTAAAACTGACGACGACATGGACTCGAGCGACGATGACAACGAAGACACCAGGTCTTCGAAGAGCAACATCAAGAGACACACGCGCACTCAATCACTTGAGAAAGCTACCGTCATTCCAAGTCCCAAGCGAAGAACATACAGAGGTCCGTCGCTTGAGCATGTGTCAGCGGCTGCAATGGATTTTGAAGCAGCCTACATCGTTGATTCAGTGGGGGAAACGCCAACTACATTCAAGTCGGCGATGGAATCAAGCGACTCCGGCAAGTGGAAAGAAGCGTGTGACTCGGAGTTCGACTCGCTTCAGAGAAACGACACGTGGGAAATCGTGCCTCTTCCGAAAGGTCGCAAGGCCATCGGGTGCCGATGGGTTTTTCGTGTAAAGGAGAATCAAGATGGCGAAGTTGAACGTTTCAAGGCAAGACTTGTGGCCAAAGGATTCTCACAGAAATTCGGAGTTGACTATGAAGAAACTTTCGCACCGGTGGCCAAGTTCACATCGATTCGTGTGGTGCTCAGTATGGCGGCTAAGTACGGCCTGATGCTACATCAGATGGACGTCAAGACAGCGTTTCTTAACGGCTCCCTCAACGAAGACATCTACATGGACCAGCCGGACGGATACCTGGATGCAACACAGCCGGACTATGTGTGCAAGCTAAAGAGATCACTCTACGGCTTGAAGCAATCGCCTCGCATGTGGAACCAAACAATCGATGGGTTCATGATCAAGATGGGATTCAAGAAGTGCGAATCGGACCACTGCATCTACATCAAGCGAGACGACCAAGACATGATTCTCGTGGTACTCTACGTCGATGATCTCATCCTGGCCAGCAGCAACAACGAACTCCTCAAGTCAACCAAGATGGCGCTGAGCAAACGCTTCGAAATGACGGATCTCGGTGAGCTCGATTACTTTCTCGGCATGGAGATCAAGAACGACCGTAAGACGGGAATGGTGACTGTACAACAAACCAAGTTCCTCAAGTCCGTGTTAACCAAGTTCCGGAATGGATAACAGCAAGCCAGTGAAGACGCCTCAAGATCCCGGCCTGAAGCTAACCAAGAACATGTGTGAACAAGAATGCAAGCACGAAGACACCATGTGCAACGTGCCATATCGAAGTGCTGTCGGAGGCATCATGTATCTCATGGTCGCCACACGTCCGGATCTAGCTGCTGCAGTGGGATCATTATCCCAGTTCTCGTCCGACCCATGCCCGACTCACTGGCAAGCTTTGAAGCGTGTGCTGAGATACCTGCAAGCAACGCCCAATCATGGTCTTGAGTTTACACGTGAAGAAGGAAGCCGTATCTGCGGGTACACCGACGCAGACTGGGCCGGCGACATTGAGTCAAGACGAAGTACAAGCGGCTATGTGTTCATGGTGAGCGGAGGATGCATCAGCTGGAAAAGCCAGAAACAACGGACGGTCGCGCTATCTTCAACAGAAGCAGAATACATGGCGCTTTCCGAAGCAACCAAAGAAGCAGTATGGCTCAAAGTGCTTTTGGGGGAACTTGGTGAGATGACAAGCGACGAAGCGATCAAGATGTATGAAGACAACCAAGGATCAATCGCTCTCGCCAAGAACCCGGAGTTCCATAAGAGAACAAAACACATCGACATACGCTACCATTTTGTGCGTGAGAAGGTGGAATCAGGTGAAGTCGTTTTGGAGTATTGCCCGACTCAAGATATGCTGGCAGACATGATGACCAAGCCGATCGCCGCTGTACAATTTGAAAACATTCGCGATCGACTTGGGATCCAAGGTGCCGCAGCTAACGAGTCGAGAGGGAGTGTTGAAAAGACAGCGGCTGTAAAGAAGACACCTCGTCAAGCTGCGTCAAGTGTTGAAGCAAGTGGAAGACCAAGCCTCGCTATACCGGTGGGTACCGGTATGTACCAGTAAGGGCGAAGTCAGGAAATGACGTCACTGGATGACGTCATTGCATGACGTCAGTGGGTGACGTCAGTGGGTGACGTCACTGGATGACGTCACTGCGAATAATAGGCTTAGAGGTAGTATTCAAAGTTGCGAACTAAGTACCTATTATAAATATATATTCACTTTGCGTTTTGCACTCGGACCAAGAAGTCTAAAGTTCATCATTCACCACTCAACAGACTACAAGGTCAAGTTCGTTCGACACGATGGTGCACGAGAATTTGCGGCAAATTCGCTCAAGGCATTTTACGATGATCAAGGAATCGAGCAGCAAGTTACCGTTCCATATGCGCATCAGACCAACGGCACGGCGGAACGGGCAATTCGGACTATTGTGACGATCGGGCGCAGCATGCTTCACTACGCCAAGCTGGACAAGTGTTTTTGGGCTGAAGCAGCAATGACGGCAATCTACATCAAGAATCGCCTACCATCGCCCAAGTGCCAAGATTAAACCCCGTTCGAGATCTTCAACGGATTTCGACCAAGTGTGAAGCACATGCGGGTTTTCAGCTGCCGAACGTTTGTGCTGACCCCTAAGTGTTGTAAGTGCATGATGCACTGGATTCGACTCCAGAGATTCGACCCATGATAGGGTATGTCTAGAATGTTCTTTAGGGTTCTATGCATTATTATAGGTCGTACGGCAGCTAGACGTATGGGTAGTTCTCACTTGTAGATTGACAAACCACTGATGAGGCCCCCGGCGGGGGGGCCGAAACGCGTCTGGTGCGCGGTAATATAAAAGTGATTTACTTTACTTAACTTCTACTTTTTACACTGAGGAAAAGAGATCGAAATGGGATCCAAAGGCTCGTGAAGGACTATTCATGGGGTACGAAGAAGTGTCAAAGGCATATCGCGTTTACGACATTGAAGCGGACCAAGTGGTGATATCTCGCGATGTCACATTCGACGAATCAACGCTTGGTTTCTCGCCGATGCTACCACAAGAAATTGTTGATGACACTGCGCTGGATATCGAATCGATGAACATCAGCGATGAGCCTCACCCCATGCAGTTCAAGCAAACTGGAAAACGCAAAAGCCGTTCAAACAGTCAAGAACAAGTTCTACAACGGACACTTCTTGAGCGTCGTGGAACCGGGTTAGAAGAAGCAAGTGCCCCGGATGACTCTGAATCGCACCAAGCGAAGCGACGATCAAGCGCTCGAGACAATCTGGACGAAGAGCAAAAGGGCAGTGACGAAGATAACGAGGATGCTACACCTCAAGTCTTTTGGCGAGCGAGTGCCAATGCAGTCGAAGGTTCTGACTTGTCTGAGCCGACAACGTTTGGAGATGCTGTTGGTGGACCAGATCAAGTGCATTGGCGTAAGGCAATCTGTGCCGAGTTGGACTCGATGAAACTTCGTGGCGTGTTTCGAGCGACCAAACTGCCGTCTGGACAGCATACCATTGGCACCAAGTGGGTATTCAAGATCAAACGGAAAGCTGATGGATCCATCGAGAAATACAAGGCGCGCCTCGTGGCAAAAGGGTTCAAGCAGAAATATGGCATCGACTACACGGAAACGTTTTCGCCGGTAGTCAAGTACGTGACGCTGCGCATGGTGGTTGCAATCACGAAGTACTTTGGCTGGACACTGGACCAACTGGACGTGGTGACATCTTTCCTTTACGGAGAAATGAAGGAAAAGGTATTCTGCGCGATCCCAGAAGGAGTCGAAGTTGATGAAGACTTTGACTGCTTTGAACTGGTCAAGGCGATCTACGGACTAAAACAAGCATCGCGCGTATGGAACGAGACTTTTCATGAGTTCGTCTGCTCCATTGGATTTAAAGTATCCGATTTTGACCCGTGTCTTTATCTCAAGATTGCAAGTGGCGAGTGCGTGCTTTTGCTGGTATACGTCGATGATGTGTTGGTGACTGGCAGCTCAACCGAACTGATTATGCGCACCAAGAGTGTCTTAAAGGCACGTTTCGAAATGACCGACAGTGGGAAGTACGCATTCGTGTTGGGCATCGAGCTGGTGGACAACGACGACGGTAGCGTGACGATGTGCCAGCGACGCTACGTGGAAGATGTTCTCAAGCGTTTTGGCATGAGCGACTGCAAAGCCGTCACCAGCCCAACAGACATCAGTTCTCGACTCATACCAAGTACCGCAGCAACTAAAATCGACGCCCCGTTTCGTGAAGCAGTAGGCGCTCTGATGCACTTGATGACCGCGACACGACCGGACATTGCCTTTGCTGTGAGTTACGTTTCGCGCTTCATGGAGAACCCCCAAGTCGAGCATTGGATGGCGGTCAAGCGCATTTTGCGATACTTACAAGGGACTAAGTCGCACGGTATCTGTTTCAAGCCTGATGACAAGATAGACTTCTGTGGCTACTCGGATGCAGACTGGGCCGGCGACCATGCAGACCGCAAGTCGACTTCAGGATACGCGTTTATCCTGATGGGTGCTCCGGTGAGCTGGGGAAGCAAGAAGCAGTCAAGTGTGTCGCTGTCAACGAGCGAAGCTGAGTACATTGCACTAAGTTTGGCAATCCAAGAAGGCAAGTGGGTGCATCGATTGCTGTGCGAGATTCTGGATGCCGCAAGGACAAGTCTGGACCCGAGCTCAAGATCATGGAAGACAACCAGTCCTGCATCAAGATGACGAAGAATCCCGTCAACCATGGTCGGGCCAAGCACATCGACATCAAGTACCACCACATTCGTGATGAAGTCAAGCGTGGTGATGTCAAGTTGGAGTACTGTGAGACTACGATCATGTTGGCGGACATCATGACGAAGGGACTGCCAGGACCGCGTCACAAGGACTTGACGGCAGCGCTCGGCATACACGCGTGTTCGCATTGAGGGGGCGTATTGTGGGTTGACGGTTGAGGTACTGCTATCAGCTACCATGGGAACCGTAATCCTGTCCAAGTCGATCCCGCGTAATTACGGTGAGTTTTTACCAATGATTAGACGCATAGGATGATTGGATGACCTACATGATTTATGATTCATGATTTATATGTGGACAACATATAAATCAGTGCAGAGATAAATCAGGTAGCTTTAACAAAACGCACAAATAAATTCACTTCCAAATATTCCTTCTTCAGCACAAGTCGTATACACTTCGCAGTGCAGACTTCTTCAGCGTTCTTCAAGCTTCGTTCTCTCGTCCAGTGCTCTTCAGACTTTAACAGTGTACATGTAAATTATGTGAAGCTTCTCGTCATCTTACTCGTCTGACCAACTATGGATTATTATCGTAAGAACTACGTCGTAAATAATAAGCTGAGCAGGTGGTTCGGATTGAACCGGTCACGGTTACCAATACTGGTAGAAAACCGATGACCGTCAACACGCCCCCTCAATCCGAACGCGGACAGATGCCTAGCGCCGCCGTTAATTCCATGTGGCGCGGTCGGTGAAGTCCCTTGGTCATAATGTCGGCCATCATCACCGTCGTTTTGCAGTATTTAAGCTTCACTTCACCGCGAGTGTGGTGGTACTTGATATCAATGTGTATGGCGCGGCCGTGATTGACTGGATTCTAGGTCATTTGATGCAAGGCTATTCGTCTTCACGGATCATGAGCTCGAGTCTGTCCTCGTCAGTAGCCGCCATGATCTCGCATAGTAAGCAGTGGATCCACTTGCCTTCTTGAATCGCCAGACTCAAGCGCAATGTACTCCGCTTCAATTGCAGACAGTGACACACTTGGCTGCTTCTTGCTGGACCAACTCACTGGAGCACCTGATGAACTTTAGACTTCTTGGTCCGAGTGCAAAACGCAAAGTGAATATATATTTATAATAGGTACTTAGTTCGCAACTTTGAATACTACCTCTAAGCCTATTATTCGCAGTGACGTCATCCAGTGACGTCACCCACTGACGTCACCCACTGACGTCATGCAATGACGTCATCCAGTGACGTCATTTCCTGACTTCGCCCTTACTGGTACATACCGGTACCCACCGGTATAGCGAAGCTTGGTCTTCCACTTGCTTCAACACTTGACGCAGCTTGACGAGGTGTCTTCTTTACAGCCGCTGTCTTTTCAACACTCCCTCTCGACTCGTTAGCTGCGGCACCTGGATCCCAAGTCGATCGCGAATGTTTTCAAATTGTACAGCGGCGATCGGCTTGGTCATCATGTCTGCCAGCATATCTTGAGTCGGGCAATACTCCAAAACGACTTCACCTGATTCCACTTTCTCACGCACAAAATGGTAGCGTATGTCGATGTGTTTTGTTCTCTTATGGAACTCCGGGTTCTTGGCGAGAGCGATTGATCCTTGGTTGTCTTCATACATCTTGATCGCTTCGTCGCTTGTCATCTCACCAAGTTCCCCCAAAAGCACTTTGAGCCATACTGCTTCTTTGGTTGCTTCGGAAAGCGCCATGTATTCTGCTTCTGTTGAAGATAGCGCGACCGTCCGTTGTTTCTGGCTTTTCCAGCTGATGCATCCTCCGCTCATCATGAACACATAGCCGCTTGTACTTCGTCTTGACTCAATGTCGCCGGCCCAGTCTGCGTCGGTGTACCCGCAGATACGGCTTCCTTCTTCACGTGTAAACTCAAGACCATGATTGGGCGTTGCTTGCAGGTATCTCAGCACACGCTTCAAAGCTTGCCAGTGAGTCGGGCATGGGTCGGACGAGAACTGGGATAATGATCCCACTGCAGCAGCTAGATCCGGACGTGTGGCGACCATGAGATACATGATGCCTCCGACAGCACTTCGATATGGCACGTTGCACATGGTGTCTTCGTGCTTGCATTCTTGTTCACACATGTTCTTGGTTAGCTTCAGGCCGGGATCTTGAGGCGTCTTCACTGGCTTGCTGTTATCCATTCCGAACTTGGTTAACACGGACTTGAGGAACTTGGTTTGTTGTACAGTCACCATTCCCGTCTTACGGTCGTTCTTGATCTCCATGCCGAGAAAGTAATCGAGCTCACCGAGATCCGTCATTTCGAAGCGTTTGCTCAGCGCCATCTTGGTTGACTTGAGGAGTTCGTTGTTGCTGCTGGCCAGGATGAGATCATCGACGTAGAGTACCACGAGAATCATGTCTTGGTCGTCTCGCTTGATGTAGATGCAGTGGTCCGATTCGCACTTCTTGAATCCCATCTTGATCATGAACCCATCGATTGTTTGGTTCCACATGCGAGGCGATTGCTTCAAGCCGTAGAGTGATCTCTTTAGCTTGCACACATAGTCCGGCTGTGTTGCATCCAGGTATCCGTCCGGCTGGTCCATGTAGATGTCTTCGTTGAGGGAGCCGTTAAGAAACGCTGTCTTGACGTCCATCTGATGTAGCATTAGGCCGTACTTAGCCGTCATACTGAGCACCACACGAATCGATGTGAACTTGGCCACCGGTGCGAAAGTTTCTTCATAGTCAACTCCGAATTTCTGTGAGAATCCTTTGGCCACAAGTCTTGCCTTGAAACGTTCAACTTCGCCATCTTGATTCTCCTTTACACGAAAAACCCATCGGCACCCGATGGCCTTGCGACCTTTCGGAAGAGGCACGATTTCCCACGTGTCGTTTCTCTGAAGCGAGTCGAACTCCGAGTCACACGCTTCTTTCCACTTGCCGGAGTCGCTTGATTCCATCGCCGACTTGAATGTAGTCGGCGTTTCCCCCACTGAATCAACGATGTAGGCTGCTTCAAAATCCATTGCAGCCGCTGACACATGCTCAAGCGACGGACCTCTGTATGTTCTTCGCTTGGGACTTGGAATGACGGTAGCTTTCTCAAGTGATTGAGTGCGCGTGTGTCTCTTGATGTTGCTCTTCGAAGACCTGGTGTCTTCGTTGTCATCGTCGCTCGAGTCCATGTCGTCGTCAGTTTTACCTTCTTCTTTTTCTTCGTCCTCATCATGATCATCAAACTCAACGACACTTGACTCATCGTTGTAGTTGCGCGGACCTTCATCAAACTTGTCTTCCATGAATGTGGCATCGCGACTGATCTTGATCGCTCCTGTTGACACTTCCTCAAATCGATATGACTTCTGGTTGATGAACTTTAGACTTCTTGGTCCGAGTGCAAAACGCAAAGTGAATATATATTTATAATAGGTACTTAGTTCGCAACTTTGAATACTACCTCTAAGCCTATTATTCGCAGTGACGTCATCCAGTGACGTCACCCACTGACGTCACCCACTGACGTCATGCAATGACGTCATCCAGTGACGTCATTTCCTGACTTCGCCCTTACTGGTACATACCGGTACCCACCGGTATAGCGAAGCTTGGTCTTCCACTTGCTTCAACACTTGACGCAGCTTGACGAGGTGTCTTCTTCACAGCCGCTGTCTTTTCAACACTCCCTCTCGACTCGTTAGCTGCGGCACCTTGGATCCCAAGTCGATCGCGAATGTTTTCAAATTGTACAGCGGCGATCGGCTTGGTCATCATGTCTGCCAGCATATCTTGAGTCGGGCAATACTCCAAAACGACTTCACCTGATTCCACCTTCTCACGCACAAAATGGTAGCGTATGTCGATGTGTTTTGTTCTCTTATGGAACTCCGGGTTCTTGGCGAGAGCGATTGATCCTTGGTTGTCTTCATACATCTTGATCGCTTCGTCGCTTGTCATCTCACCAAGTTCCCCCAAAAGCACTTTGAGCCATACTGCTTCTTTGGTTGCTTCGGAAAGCGCCATGTATTCTGCTTCTGTTGAAGATAGCGCGACCGTCCGTTGTTTCTGGCTTTTCCAGCTGATGCATCCTCCGCTCATCATGAACACATAGCCGCTTGTACTTCGTCTTGACTCAATGTCGCCGGCCCAGTCTGCGTCGGTGTACCCGCAGATACGGCTTCCTTCTTCACGTGTAAACTCAAGACCATGATTGGGCGTTGCTTGCAGGTATCTCAGCACACGCTTCAAAGCTTGCCAGTGAGTCGGGCATGGGTCGGACGAGAACTGGGATAATGATCCCACTGCAGCAGCTAGATCCGGACGTGTGGCGACCATGAGATACATGATGCCTCCGACAGCACTTCGATATGGCACGTTGCACATGGTGTCTTCGTGCTTGCATTCTTGTTCACACATGTTCTTGGTTAGCTTCAGGCCGGGATCTTGAGGCGTCTTCACTGGCTTGCTGTTATCCATTCCGAACTTGGTTAACACGGACTTGAGGAACTTGGTTTGTTGTACAGTCACCATTCCCGTCTTACGGTCGTTCTTGATCTCCATGCCGAGAAAGTAATCGAGCTCACCGAGATCCGTCATTTCGAAGCGTTTGCTCAGCGCCATCTTGGTTGACTTGAGGAGTTCGTTGTTGCTGCTGGCCAGGATGAGATCATCGACGTAGAGTACCACGAGAATCATGTCTTGGTCGTCTCGCTTGATGTAGATGCAGTGGTCCGATTCGCACTTCTTGAATCCCATCTTGATCATGAACCCATCGATTGTTTGGTTCCACATGCGAGGCGATTGCTTCAAGCCGTAGAGTGATCTCTTTAGCTTGCACACATAGTCCGGCTGTGTTGCATCCAGGTATCCGTCCGGCTGGTCCATGTAGATGTCTTCGTTGAGGGAGCCGTTAAGAAACGCTGTCTTGACGTCCATCTGATGTAGCATTAGGCCGTATTTAGCCGCCATACTGAGCACCACACGAATCGATGTGAACTTGGCCACCGGTGCGAAAGTTTCTTCATAGTCAACTCCGAATTTCTGTGAGAATCCTTTGGCCACAAGTCTTGCCTTGAAACGTTCAACTTCGCCATCTTGATTCTCCTTTACACGAAAAACCCATCGGCACCCGATGGCCTTGCGACCTTTCGGAAGAGGCACGATTTCCCACGTGTCGTTTCTCTGAAGCGAGTCGAACTCCGAGTCACACGCTTCTTTCCACTTGCCGGAGTCGCTTGATTCCATCGCCGACTTGAATGTAGTCGGCGTTTCCCCCACTGAATCAACGATGTAGGCTGCTTCAAAATCCATTGCAGCCGCTGACACATGCTCAAGCGACGGACCTCTGTATGTTCTTCGCTTGGGACTTGGAATGACGGTAGCTTTCTCAAGTGATTGAGTGCGCGTGTGTCTCTTGATGTTGCTCTTCGAAGACCTGGTGTCTTCGTTGTCATCGTCGCTCGAGTCCATGTCGTCGTCAGTTTTACCTTCTTCTTTTTCTTCGTCCTCATCATGATCATCAAACTCAACGACACTTGACTCATCGTTGTAGTTGCGCGGACCTTCATCAAACTTGTCTTCCATGAATGTGGCATCGCGACTGATCTTGATCGCTCCTGTTGACACTTCCTCAAATCGATATGACTTCTGGTTGATGAACTTTAGACTTCTTGGTCCGAGTGCAAAACGCAAAGTGAATATATATTTATAATAGGTACTTAGTTCGCAACTTTGAATACTACCTCTAAGCCTATTATTCGCAGTGACGTCATCCAGTGACGTCACCCACTGACGTCACCCACTGACGTCATGCAATGACGTCATCCAGTGACGTCATTTCCTGACTTCGCCCTTACTGGTACATACCGGTACCCACCGGTATAGCGAAGCTTGGTCTTCCACTTGCTTCAACACTTGACGCAGCTTGACGAGGTGTCTTCTTCACAGCCGCTGTCTTTTCAACACTCCCTCTCGACTCGTTAGCTGCGGCACCTTGGATCCCAAGTCGATCGCGAATGTTTTCAAATTGTACAGCGGCGATCGGCTTGGTCATCATGTCTGCCAGCATATCTTGAGTCGGGCAATACTCCAAAACGACTTCACCTGATTCCACCTTCTCACGCACAAAATGGTAGCGTATGTCGATGTGTTTTGTTCTCTTATGGAACTCCGGGTTCTTGGCGAGAGCGATTGATCCTTGGTTGTCTTCATACATCTTGATCGCTTCGTCGCTTGTCATCTCACCAAGTTCCCCCAAAAGCACTTTGAGCCATACTGCTTCTTTGGTTGCTTCGGAAAGCGCCATGTATTCTGCTTCTGTTGAAGATAGCGCGACCGTCCGTTGTTTCTGGCTTTTCCAGCTGATGCATCCTCCGCTCATCATGAACACATAGCCGCTTGTACTTCGTCTTGACTCAATGTCGCCGGCCCAGTCTGCGTCGGTGTACCCGCAGATACGGCTTCCTTCTTCACGTGTAAACTCAAGACCATGATTGGGCGTTGCTTGCAGGTATCTCAGCACACGCTTCAAAGCTTGCCAGTGAGTCGGGCATGGGTCGGACGAGAACTGGGATAATGATCCCACTGCAGCAGCTAGATCCGGACGTGTGGCGACCATGAGATACATGATGCCTCCGACAGCACTTCGATATGGCACGTTGCACATGGTGTCTTCGTGCTTGCATTCTTGTTCACACATGCTCTTGGTTAGCTTCAGGCCGGGATCTTGAGGCGTCTTCACTGGCTTGCTGTTATCCATTCCGAACTTGGTTAACACGGACTTGAGGAACTTGGTTTGTTGTACAGTCACCATTCCCGTCTTACGGTCGTTCTTGATCTCCATGCCGAGAAAGTAATCGAGGCTCACCGAGATCCGTCATTTCGAAGCGTTTGCTCAGCGCCATCTTGGTCGACTTGAGGAGTTCGTTGTTGCTGCTGGCCAGGATGAGATCATCGACGTAGAGCACCACGAGAATCATGTCTTGGTCGTCTCGCTTGATGTAGATGCAGTGGTCCGATTCGCACTTCTTGAATCCCATCTTGATCATGAACCCATCGATTGTTTGGTTCCACATGCGAGGCGATTGCTTCAAGCCGTAGAGTGATCTCTTTAGCTTGCACACATAGTCCGGCTGTGTTGCATCCAGGTATCCGTCCGGCTGGTCCATGTAGATGTCTTCGTTGAGGGAGCCGTTAAGAAACGCTGTCTTGACGTCCATCTGATGTAGCATTAGGCCGTACTTAGCCGCCATACTGAGCACCACACGAATCGATGTGAACTTGGCCACCGGTGCGAAAGTTTCTTCATAGTCAACTCCGAATTTCTGTGAGAATCCTTTGGCCACAAGTCTTGCCTTGAAACGTTCAACTTCGCCATCTTGATTCTCCTTTACACGAAAAACCCATCGGCACCCGATGGCCTTGCGACCTTTCGGAAGAGGCACGATTTCCCACGTGTCGTTTCTCTGAAGCGAATCGAACTCCGAGTCACACGCTTCTTTCCACTTGCCGGAGTCGCTTGATTCCATCGCCGACTTGAATGTAGTCGGCGTTTCCCCACTGAATCAACGATGTAGGCTGCTTCAAAATCCATTGCAGCCGCTGACACATGCTCAAGCGACGGACCTCTGTATGTTCTTCGCTTGGGACTTGGAATGACGGTAGCTTTCTCAAGTGATTGAGTGCGCGTGTGTCTCTTGATGTTGCTCTTCGAAGACCTGGTGTCTTCGTTGTCATCGTCGCTCGAGTCCATGTCGTCGTCAGTTTTACCTTCTTTTTTTTTCTTCGTCCTCATCATGATCATCAAACTCAACGACACTTGACTCATCGTTGTAGTTGCGCGGACCTTCATCAAACTTGTCTTCCATGAATGTGGCATCGCGACTGATCTTGATCGCTCCTGTTGACACTTCCTCAAATCGATATGACTTCTGGTGTTCGGCGTATCCCAGGAAACGACAGAGTGATGACTTGGAGTCGAACTTCGCGCGTTTGTCTTGAGGCACTTGAACATACGCGTGGCATCCAAACACTTTAAGGTTGGCCAGAATCGGTTTCTTCACCGTCCACACTTGATATGGAGACTTGTCTTGGTGAATGGCACGTGTTGGACAGCGGTTTCGAAGAAACATCGCCGTCATCACTGCTTCACCCCAGTAGCTCTTTCCCAGTCCAGCGTGTTCCATCATGCAACGCGCACACTCGACCAGCGTGCGATTCATTCTCTCAGCTACTCCGTTTAGCTGAGGAGTATATGGGGGTGTGAACCTTTGTTGTATTCCCCGTTCCGCGCAGAATCGTGCCAGCTTGTCGGACTTGTATTCACCCCCATTGTCGCTTTGAAGGTACTTCACGCGCTTTCCGGTTTGCGTTTCGGCCATCGCAGCGTATTCCATGAACTTCGCCGCAACTTCAGATTTGCTCTTGAGCAGATAGACGACACAGTATCTTGACTTGTCATCGATGAATGTCACGAAGTACCGTTTTCCACTGAAAGTTGCCATCGACATCGGTCCGCATACGTCGCTGTGAATCACTTCGAGGAGTTTGGAGGTGCGAGCTGTAGTGTTTGATTGGAAGCGCACTCGAGTCTGTTTTCCCCAGAGCACAACCTTCACACACGTCCCACTTCTTCACCGAAGATATGTCGATGCCAATTCCAATGTTCTTCGTCACGATGCAATTGAGTCCATCGTGACCTATGTGGCCAAGCCGAAGGTGCCAGAGGTACGACTTGGTGCCCCCTTGACATCCCGACGACTTGGCTGCATTTGCTTGTTCCGGCGCCACTGGAGTCATTTGCAGCTTGAACAGTCCTTTACCTTCACGGGCACCAATTTTCCACTTGGTCCCTTTCGCTTCTCCATAGCACCCATCCTTCGTGAACGTCACTGGGCCGACATCCTTGGTGAAGCGGCCGACCGAGAACAGGTTTCTGGATAACTTTGGGATGTGCCACACGTTTGTGAGCACACCTTTCTTCATCCCTTGGGGTGTCTTCATCGACATGACAATGTCCCCACTGCCGATTGCTTGGACGATTCCATCATCCGCGAGATGGACATCCACAGCGTCAAACCCCTTGTAGTTCCGCATGAACTTCTTGGAGCACGTCATGTGCTGCGTCGCCCCGGAGTCGACCAGCCAGATGTCGCTCGATTTCGCAGATGTCGTTTCACCGATCGAAAAGAGGTAGTCGCCCGAGTCTTCTTCTTGAGCGACGTTTGCACGTTGTGATCGATAGCGGTCGCCGCTGTCTTGAGCACGCTGTGGCCGGTGTCTCTCCGTGTTTTCTTGGATGCGCGAGGGGCACTCCGCCATCCAGTGACCAATCTTTCCGCAATTGTGGCACGGCCAGGACTT